ATTGCCATTGATGATTATGATAGTAGGTTTAGGCGTTGGTTTATAAGTTATAATGCTTGTATTCGAGGGTTCATTACTAAACGTAAGCCTCTATTATTTTTGGATAAAATATTTTTTAAAGACCACTATAGAGGTATATTAGTTAGTACCACAGGATATGACAACAACTAAGGAATATTTTCTCTTGCTTATTGCTTATGCGACCAAGAGAATGAGGAAAATTAGAAGTGGTTCTTACAAGGAGTGTGATCAATATTATATGATAGAGAAAATTCTTACAAACCCCCACATCAACTGGTCATAATTTATAATGCCAACAATTGTATTAGAGTAGTGGTCGAAGAATTCTTTCCAAATGCGTTCCATTCTAGGTGTATTCTCCAACTAGTCGAGAATTTCAAAAAAAAAAAAGATGAAGAAACTAGGTCATAAAGCAAATATCTCACAAATATTAGGTGACTTGTTACAATCTGTGGCTTATAAGCTCACAATTGTTGAATGGAATGATTACATAAAAGAATTAGCCTTAATAAATAAAAGGGCTTATATTGCTGCAATGAATTACTCTCCCGAGAGATGGGCAAATGCTTGTTTCTCTAATATAAGGTATGATGCTATTGTTTAATTTAGTTTGTTGTTGAGGTTTTAGTTAGTTGTTAAGGTTAAACTTTAGTTATTAACGATATAGGTTGGTTGTTACGTTTACAACATAGTTGTTAAGTTTACAGTGTAGTTGTTAAGGTTATAGTTTAGTTATTAAGTTTACAGTATAGTTGTTAAGTATACACATTAGTTGTTAAGTTTACAACTTGATTATTAAGGTTACACTTTAGTCATTATGGATAAACGTTAGCTGTTATGGTTTAACTTGTTAAGTTACACACTAGTTGTTAATGTTACATATTAGTTGTCAAACTTATGACTTTTTTATGTGATTTATAGGTTCATCTATGTTACTTCAAACATTGCTGAGTCCTTCAACAACTAGATAAAAAAGGGATGAATATTATGAATCTTACATTTGTTTGAGATGACACGAAAGCAAATCATGGATCATATACATGATAGAAGTATTATGGCAGTGAAATGGACTGGATAATTATGTCCAGAAGCTAACATAGTATCGAGTGATAATTTTCATCAATGAAGCCACTTACATGTTAAAAATTTAACAGAAGATATTATGGATGTTGAATCTAATAAAACTTGCCATGTAGATTTGAAGAAATGAACATGTTCATACAAGTCTTGGGATATCGCACGCATTCCCTGTAAGCATGTTTGTTCTCCAATTACTTGGATGGCACAAGATATTTATCATTATTGTGATTAGTTTATGACTATTGGAGCAATTAGAAGAAGTTATAAGCCAATCCTATTTTTCATTCCAGATTACGAGAAGCGCGTTGTAACGCTAGAAGACCGTCAGTTAAAGCCTGCTCTTACTAAAAAAGACATGGAAGAGCATATACTAGATGAATGAACAATAGGTCACTGAATACTCGGCCGACTAAGTGCTCCGGATGCCACATGGAAGGCCACAATTGACAAACATGCAACTCTAGTTGTGGTTGTCAACCTTTTTTATTAGTAGCTAACCATATGTATTGGATGTTAATCTTTTAGATTGGATGTTAATTTTATGTATTGAATGTTGTCCTTTTAGATTGGCTGTTAGCGTTATGCATTGGATGTTAACCTTATGGATTGACTATTAACTTTATTTATTGGATGTTAACCTTATGTATTGGATGTTAATCTTTTGGGTTAGCTGTGAAGGTTATAAATTACTTATTAATGTAAAGTTTAACTATCATAATGGAGTAGAATGTTAGGCCATAAGAAAATAAATATTTACAAGATATTTACAACAATTAAAAGTGTTTTGAGAACCATCTAAAATTATCTTTAACACTATCAAATAAGCTTGTGATCCATTTACCGATGTTTTTTTACATTATGGTCAAATCTTTTGAGATCACCATCGTCAAGCTTATTGAGAAGTTTTTTCTTCATTCTCCCCTCAATTAGTAAATAAATAGCTAGTTTTGCTAGTATGATCCATGTACAGTGATCTTCAGGCGTGAGGTGCAAGATATCTCTTCCTTCAAGAAAATCTTTTATCTCTAAACTCAGTATTTTTTTGCTCCAGAAGAGTTACCTATTCCAATTCAGAAGCTTCTATGGCTCGATAAGATGAGTCACCATTTCTGTAGGCTTCGATAATGTATGCTGGTTGGAAATGGTGTTGAGGATTTGGTTTCGATCTTACCTTGGTTCTTGCATGTCAATTTATGAAGCCTGCTGGTGGTTTCAGGAATAGGATGTGCTATCTGGTCCTGGTTTTTCAGGATTGAATGCTCCATTTACATGTTAGTGTTATTACTAGATATGTGTCATTAGGAGAATAAAGCTATCACAAGTTTGGTCTTTTGGTTTATTTTGTTTCTTCAAGAGCTTCATGCGTATAGCTCAAAAATATTTTGTGATAGTTTTGTGTTATGAATACTTTTGTACAGTGAGGGATGTCTTACTTCAAGATGAACTTGCTCCTAAAGTTTTAGGGAGGAATCATGTAACTTTTTACTATCAATGAAATCTATATCTTTCGAGGTTAAAAAAAAGATTTTATATATAGCTACACATAAATTCCGCAATCATACCTAGATATAAATATATATAAATTATTAACAACCACTCCCCGCATTAACAAAATAGAAACCTTAATATCTAAACTGTATCCTTAACAACCAATCTATAACTTTAACACCTGGGCTATAAGGTTAACAACTAAACTCTAACATTAACAATCAGTATGTAAGGTTAACAACCAACCTATATATTTAATAACAAAACTATAACCTTAACAATTAGTCTATAAGGTTAATAACTAAACTATAACCTTAACAACTAGCCTATATGGTTAACATCTAATCTGTATGGCTAACAACTAAACTATAACCGTAACAACTATGCTTTAAGGATGTAAACTAAACTATATATTTAACAACTAAATTGGAAACTTAAACTGTTATGGTGTTCCCATTTTTACAAAAATACAGCTCAATACCAAGTAGTTGACAAGTTTATTTCTACACGATATGCCCCAATCAACTTGGCGCCCAGAGCCAATCGGGGCCGACAACTCAGCCGACCTGATGAGATGATACCCCTCAGCGTTGACATGAAAGGCAAAGTATGTCAACACGAAAGTCGGTGCATGTTTCCCCCCATTCTATTGAAGACAACTCGCCACGAGCCAACTCGACTACTTGCAAGGCTCCTTGCAAAGTCAACTTGAAAGGCATCACTTCTCGGTGAAGCTAAATGACTGTTTTCTTCTCGAGCCTTTCCCTCTATGACAACATATCAACATCAGATTTAATGCTTGGCAGGTCCCATCATGACTCTAGCCCAAATAGTTTTCATAACTCATCGGACCATGTGGGCCCTGCCATGCTACCAGTCTCTTCCCATTTAATGCAGAAGCGACATTCCCTCCATTCGCTAGTCGACACCTGTAAAGCAAGTGCCGATATGGCCACCAGCCCATATTTCACCACCATCTCTCTGTTCTCGGTCAAAGTGACCAATTTACCCTTTTCACCATTGTATAAATACATGTACTATTTCAACTTGGAAAGGGGCTGATTCTGGATTCTGATCCAAATTTTATAATTTTGCAAATCATACTGCATGCGCACTAGAATTACCACAGTTCTTTAAAACCCACTCAAGTTTATCAGCTAACTTGATCGTTGAAGGTACAATGAAGGAACCAAACCCTACCCTCTTACGAATTTCTACTTGTGCAGATTTTTCAGATACCCAATTCAAGAACTAGACATAAAGTCAAAGAAGAAAGTGACCCCTTTATCAATCCTCAACAAATTCATCTAAACGCGGATCAAAATAATTGTGTGATCACTATTACTTCAACAGTTTGGCGCCCACCGTGGGGCCTCTTTTTTTTTGAGAAAATATGTCAAGTTTTGAACAAGGGTCTGATCAGCCTCACCCTGTAGAACGACATTAGAGCTACGTTACTTGAGCTCAACTTGAGGAAATAGCTCACAAGCTCTCTCAGTCTTTCAAAGAGCAATTTGTCGTCTATACAAATGAACTTCTCAGCCAGCTTCCGTAGCTGCAACGAGCTACCTCAGCTCTCCCTCCACCTTCTGGGTACCGATGGTCGGAGACTCATTCTTCTGTCGGGGCTCAGCGAATAGTCTAGCCTCGGACTCCTCATGCCACTATCAAGCAGATGGGGGATTGCATTGACCGGACATCCTCGCCATCTCATTGACTGGCTCGTGTTGATGAGTCTCGCCGGCCACGTCACCATCATCAGGAGACCTCTGAGGAGAGTCCCGACCCAAGCCAGCATGAGGGGCGTGCTAAGGGAGTAGTCTCTAAGGCTTCCCATCATCATGCCTCTCCAGCTCCTTTAGCTACCATAGGAACTTCCGGATACGTCTGAGTGTACAAACCGGTCGTAGATACCATAAGGGGAATACCCCTCCCTTCGATGACCTTATGAATACCCTATGTGAGAAATTTAAGACGCCTCATGTGGAGAAGTACAAAGGCGAGGTAGACCCCTCTGAGCATGTTCAGAATTATTATGATGTGATGTGTATGCTTCAAGTATCGAAAGATGTTATCTGTCGATGCTTCCCCATCACTCTTTCAGGAAGTGCTAAGCTCTAGTGAAATGCTCTTGGAAGAAGTCCATCAGCAACTTCCAACAGCTTAGCTAGAAGTTTGTCCACCACTTACTAGATGACACCAAGTAGAAGCTCCCTCATCATGTGTTAATCTAGATGAGATAGTGACTAGAAGAGAGCCTTTGAGCCTACTTCAAAAGATTTTAGGCAAAGAGGCTAGAGATCAATGACCCAAGGAGTGCAGTCACCATGTCCATACTCGTTGACCGCTTGCAGAGCAATGAATTGGTCGACTTGCTCACCAAGAAGTGAGTCGCCAACTATAAGCAATTGATGGCCAAGGCACACGGGTGCATGGATAAGGAGGATGCAAATGCCTATAAGGTGTCCGCCAGGGCCACAGAGATCTGCCCATCCACAACTTCAGTAATGCCAGCAATCCCATCCATTTGGCCTACTCCTATAGCAATACCAGTGGCGACACCAATGCCCAAGCTTCCCAGAGGCCCCCCTGCAAAGCAGGAGTGGCCAAGAGATCCTTCGAGAGTCAACTCTCTTCCCAATCGGTCTAACAGTAGTGACCGACAGAAGAACCCGATGCTGATGTCAGCTCTCACAACCTCTGACATCTCTCTCACCAATGTTCTCACCATGGTTCAAAAGGAAGGATACCTTAAGGAGCCTGCTCCTCAGATGAGGTCAAATCCTAAGAACCGAGATACTAGGCAATTTTGCCGTTATCATTAGGACCACAACCACCTCAGCAATGATTGGCAAATCCTAAAGAGGGATATTGAATACTTGATTGAGAGAGGATATTTAAAGAACCTCTTCTACCTACGGATTGTAGGGAAGCTGCCCCAGCCAAGGATAACAAGAAATCCCGCTCACGGTCGCCCCTTCCTCTGTCGCGTCAAGACAACCAACCCTCAGAACCTAGCCACAAAGGTGTTATCAACACAATTAGTGGCAGTCCTACTATTGGCAACCAACCCTCAGAACCTAGCCACAAAGGTGTTATCAACACAATTAGTGGCAGTCCTACTATTGGATGGTCATCCAACAATGCCCAGAAGAGGTATGCCAAGAGGGCGTTGCGGGTCAACCAAGGCGATAAGAGGATGAAGGCGGCCAAGCCTATATCTTTTGGGGGCACTGACCTACAAGGCGTTAAGATGCCTCATGATGATCCCATTCTCATCATAGCCGCGATCGACAGCTATCAAGTGAAACATATTATAATCGATACAAGGAGCTCGGTAGACATCCTGTACGTTGACGCCTTCAACTAAATGGGCATCAACAAATCTTGTTTGCTCCCCTATAGAGGACCCCTCATCGGATTCAGTGATCACTCTCTTTTGCCAGAAGGGATGATTACTCTCCCTCTAATAGTTAAGGAGTACCCTAGGCAAGCAACCATCCAGGTCCAGTTCCTAGTGATGGATCTCAAGTCGGCCCACAATGTCATCATAGGTCGAATTGCCCTCCATCTCTTACGAACCATTCCTTCAACTTACCACCAGATGGTCAAGTTCCCAACTCCTAATGGAGTCGAAGTCACCAGGAGCAATCAACAAGAGGCTAAGTCCTATTACATGCTCTCCATCAAGGGTAAGGGCGCACAAGATGCCATGCCCATTAAGAAAGCCTACCTCTAATTGGAGAAGACAATGAAGTAGCAGAGGACAACACTGGTTGAAAAACTCCAAGAAATACCTGTTGACCAAACAGGACTGAAAATAGTTAAAATTGGGTCTAGTCTAGTCGAGCCCTTAAGAGGGGCCTTGACTGAGTTCCTACAGATAAACGCTGATGTATTTTCCTGCGGACCCGAAAACATGCCGGGGGTTCCTCCCGAAGTGATCAGCCATGAGCTGGCCGTCGACAGGCATATCAAGCCCGTCCGGTAGAAGAAGGGACACCTCAGCCCAGAGCACCAGAAGGTAGTGACCGACGAAGTCAAGGGGCTTCTTAGAGATGGCTTCATCCGAGAAGTCCAACACTCAAAGTGGTTAGCCGATATTGTATTGGTGAATAAAATGCCGAACAAATGGAGGATGTGTATGCACTTCACTGACCTCAACAAAGCTTGTCCTAAGGACAGCTACCCCCTATCTCGAATCGATCAGTTAGTCGATGAGAGTACGGGCCATGAGCTTCTCAGCATCGTAGACGCCTTCTCCGGCCACAACCAGATCTTCATGGCCGAGCATGATCAGGAGAAGACCTTCTTCATCACTGATTTGGGTACTTACTGCTACAAGATGATGCCATTAGGAGTGAAGAACGTAGGAGCTACATATCAAAGGTTTGTCAGCAAAGTCTTCAAGCACCAGATAGGTCGTAATCTGGAAGCTTATGTGGACGACTTGCTGGTAAAGTCGAAGTAAGTGTCGACCCACATATCATACTTGAATGAGACTTTCTCTACTCTTCGGCATTGCCGAATAAAGCTCAACCCTGCTAAGTTTGTCTTTGGAGTGCAGTCGGGGAAGTTCCTGGGGTTCATGATCACCCAAAGAGGCATAGAGATCAACTCCGAGAAGATTACCTCTATAGAGCGACTGCCTGAGCTGCGTACCTTGAAAGATATTTAGAAGATGAAGATTGCGGCTCTGGGTTGACTCCTCTCCAAATCTACCAAGAGGAGTCTCCCATTCTTTAAGACTCTAAGGGGAAGCAAGAACTTGAAGGAGAGCATGACTTGGACGACTGAATGCGGTGCAGTATTTTAGGATCTCAAAACCTATTTGAGTACTAAGCCACTATTGAGTCAGCCTATATAGGAGGAGAGACAACATATTTATACATGACCATCTCCTCCGAAGTAGTCAGCTGCATCCTTGTTCTAGAAGAAGAGAATATCCAGAAGCCCGTCTACTATGTGAGTCAGATCCACAAAGCGGGTGAGCAGGCTACCTTTGCTCTCATCATCACTATAAGGAGACTCCGTCCCTACTTCTAGGCCCATGCCATCATTGTGCGGACGAGTCTGCCTTTGAAGAAAGCGCTGGGCAGCCCCACTAAATCTAGGAGGATGGTCACTTGGGCAGTCGAACTCAGTGAATATGATGTTTTAGTTTGAACCCAGGACGACAACCAAAACTTAACCCTTAGCCGACTTCCTAATTGAGTCGACCTCCCTAAGTGATGAACCAGAAGCACTTTTGCCATCTTATCAGCCAGCACCTCCAATGCTTCCATCACCTCCTAAAGTTCAAATACCTACTCCTCAGGTCCATCACACCTTGGAACATGATGCATCTAAGTATATCTTATGGAGGTTATTGAAATTGGATGAGTCTTTTGGAGAAGCCGGCAATGGAGCAGAAGTGGTTTTGCGAAGCCCTGACGGGTCAATACATGAACACTCCATCTCCTCTGGCTTCTTAGCCTCAAACAATGAAGTCGAGTATAAAGCACTCCTTGCTGACCTTTGATCAGCATAAGCCTTAAAGGTAGAATGCCTCTATATTCTTGCTGACTCGCAATTAGTCGTCCACCAAGTCAATGGACGATATGCTGCTAAGGATTCAAGGATGGCCTTATATCTTAAAGCTACTTAAGAGATTTTAACCAGCTTCCTAGAGTTTAAAATAGCTCAAGTCCCCCGTGCTATCAATGCTTGAGCGAACGCCCTCTCAAAGCTCGGGTCGACAAGCTCAAGAATCAACTCGGGGCCCATCTATATCGACACCCTCAAATGACTAGCATCTCCAAGTTGATAGAGACCGTTATAGAGACAGAAGCATTTGTGGTACTTTGTTGGTTATATCCTTTACCTAACACAGGGAATTACACCTGATGAACCTCCAAAGCCAGGTGTCTACAAAGGAACTATCGCCATTATCTCATGATCGACGATCAGCTCTACCGGATGTCTTACTCTAGCAACGGTATAAGGCCCTATTTGCGATGCCTACGACCACCATAGGTCGACTATGTACTCCGGGAGATACATGAAAGCACTTGCAAAAATCATCCTGGAGCCCGAACCCTCGTATAGAAAGTCATTCGCCAGGGGTACTACTGGCCAATCATCGTAGCCGAGTCTCAAGATGACTCATTTCTCATTGCCAAAAGTGCTAGATTTCTCATCCATTCCACAAGCAACGGTGACCGAGCTGACTTCCATCCTAAGATCGATACATTTCGCCCAATGGGGCTGGATCTACTAAGGACTCTCCCCCAAGCTTAAGGGCAGAGAAGATTTCTCATTATGGCGATTGACTACTTCACCAAATGAATCGAAGCTGAACCACTAACTAAGATTGGTCAAAGCAACGTCATGAATTTTCTGTGGAAATCCATTGTTTTCCATTTTAGTGTACCCAGATCCTTTGTGACTGACAATGGCACCCAATTCGACAGTAGAGGCTTCCATAATTTTTATGAGGATACATCATTCACCTCAAGTTCTCCTACGTCACCCACCCCAAATCTAATGGACTTGTAGAGACTGCCAACAAATGAATCCTATAAGCACTAAAAAATAAGGTGGATTCTGTGGTTGGGAACTGGGTTGAAGACCTACCTAGTATCCTCTGGTCATATTGCACAACTCACAAGAGCTTAATCGGGGAGACACCATTCAAGCTAGCATATGGCGTTGAGGCTGTCACTCCCGTCAAAGTTGGCATGCTGACTGTTCAACTACAACTCTTCGACGAGAACATGAACTTAGAAGGACTTCAAGTCGGGCTTGACCTCCTAGATGAGACACGAGAGAAAGCACTTTAGACTCATATCACAAATCAGCAACGAATCGTCCGCTATTACAATAGTAGAATTTGACCAAGGAGATTCAATGCTGGCGACCTCATCCTCCGCAAAGCTTCTTTTGACAAAGACACTTGGAGAGGCAAGCTAGCGCCCAACTGGGAAGGCCCTAACACACTCCTAGAAGAGCTTCGAACAGGCACCTACCGACTAAGGGACGCAGATGGGTGAGTCCTCTAGCATTCCTGGAATATTGAGCACCTGTGACGTTATTTTCAATAATTTTGTAAATTTCATTTCTTATCAATGAAATTCTTATTAAAACTAACTCAATTGCTGTCTTGCACTTCCATAGTACCCAATTTGTGCAGGAATTCAAAGCCCTTGGTGAATTTTTAGGAATAGACCCAAGGCACTCTCCATATAGTCGACTCCCACAGTCGCCTCTCGACCATCATGGCTATATTAAAGACCCAGGCGTGTACATAAGTACTAGGAACCTAACCTCAGGGTTGTCATATTACATAATTGCCATTAGGGCAACCCTCTATAGGGCAGAAGACCTTGATACGAGTTGCCGTGCGAGCACCTTTGATCACGGAATTATCAAAGGTGGATTGTGGAGAAAACAATAAGAAACACAAGAATAACTCAGATTTTTGGGCGAAGGAAAATACCTTCTCTAGATTATGAGTATGCACTTTACAATCTCTCACAATCTCACTCTAGAATTGAAGAACAAGCTCTCCAAATCTCAATTACAATTTTAATCTCTCTTGATTAAACTCCCTAATTCTTTTAAACCCTAAAACAATCTCTTATATATCTGTACAAACGAGGGTGGCAAAGTGGTAAATAACCAAACCCAACCCAAACAGGAAAACGCGTAAAAAGAGTCCTTAACGAATCTGGAAAATTCCGATGAGTCGACTCATGACTGAGATGAGTCGACTCGTCCGAAACTGGACAAACACGAAAACCAGCAATGAGTCGACTCATAACTAAGATGAGTCGACTCATGACCTCATATGAGTCGACTCATAACTGATGAGTCGACTGGTCAGAGACGAATTGCGAACTAGGCTTGGTTTCGTGAGTCGACTCATGAAAGTCATGAGTCGACTCAACCTGATGAGTCGACTCATGTACATGTATGAGTCGACTCAAAGGCTAAAATCTGGATACTTTGACTCTTCGATTCTCTGCCTCGTTCCTCGCTCTAACCTACGTTCCCTTGTACTGTTTGACACCTCTATTCTCATGCTTTTATAAGAATCATCTATCCTCAAGCTCCTATGAGGATCACTAAGTTCCAAAGAGAAGATACACCCGTATCATGGGTCCCCCATTTAGGAACTTGAAGTCCCGTTCAAGTTAGAACTTTAGCTGAGGAAACTCACGAGCTCCTCCTTCCTTGTTGAACCACTTAGCCTTACTAGGAACTTGACCTTGACGTCCAATGAGAAACGACTCCTTCGTTCCCCGCCTCGTCATGGTTGTCTTCCGCTCCAATATGCAATCTTCCCTCAGCGGCTCCTCTCTATCAAACCACAAGTCTTCAACATGCGGCAAGATCACGTTGTCATCATCTTCATCATCCAGCAATAGAGGCTCAAACAACTTCAAGTACTCGGCATTGATCACCGAATACATGCCTAAGTAAGGTGGTAAATCGAGCTTGAAAGCGTTGTCACCAATCTGATCGAGAATCCTAAATGGGCCATAATGTATCGGTTTCAACTTCTTCCCTTCTCCCTTGAGCCTCTCCTTACTCAATTTCAGCCACACCATATCGCCCACGCCAAAGTTACAAGGAACCTGATATTGATCATGCTTCGCCTTGTACCTTACTTGTGACTTCTCAAATGTGCTTCAACCGAGGCATGAATATGCGCAATCTTCTCCAAAAATCACTGAGCACGTTATCTATCATTCCCCT